GCCTAGTTTACCAGGTTTAAGTATCATTTTGACCTCAGCAACTTTTCATTAAGCAGTGAAGATGCATTTTGCAATAGATGTATTAAATATATGCAACAGGAAGCTTATTCCCTCACTTGGACGAAGGATCTAAACTGCTTTTACATTCTATATGTTTTGGTGAGAGACCTTTAGCGACACAAAAGTCAATAAGGTCTGGAATTTTCTTTTGGCCTGTTGGCCAATACGTAGGCTCTCCGGTAGAAAAGGTGTTAAGTTTCAATTGTCTCAATGCTGAATACGACCTTTTGTTGAAGTAAAGCGTGATCCCCAGAATTTTTTCTTTGCCTTATAGTCTCCGCCTGCTATAAAGCGACTTCCTAAAGTTTAGAAAAACTTCATATAGGACGCCTTCTTTAAATTATGTTTCGGAAGGCAATATACTGCAGATACTAAGAGCGGGCCACCTGTTGTTTCGACTATGATATTCGTGGCTTGGAACTCTTTTGTGCAATAGTGAGTAGTTACATAATGTTTCACGTTATTTTTTATCAGTATTGCCGAGCCCTCATGCGCCGTTCCATCAGAATGCATTGATTGGTACAAACGGTAGGAAGGAATTTTAAAAAAGCTTTTCTGAGTAAAGTGAGCCAGTAAAATATCTATATTATTTTTGCTTAAGAATAGTTGATTCAGATGAATGGTGTGACAGTCCGTTGGCATTCCAAAGAACTAATTTCATTGACATGGTGTTGTTTTGGAAATAATGCTTACTACCAGACTTGTCATTGCTGTAATTTGACTCATTATTTCCTCCAGAAATTTCATCATCTCGCGTAATTCTCTTAGAAGCGGATAACCTTGTTGATAAGCAATGTTTGTTTCAAAAGTTTTAATACTTAAATTTTTTTGTTGTTTTTGATTTGATTGGGTACTTGTCACTTGAGCGTATGTTAACTTCGGTTGGTTCAATTGTTCGTTTTGTTTAACAGATTGCTTCACAACGTCTTTTCTTTCAACTTGAGAAGGCAGAATTTCTTCTCTTAATTTAGGAAAAGTGCTTGTTTGCAACTTGATATAGACAGAGCATAATTGGCAGGGTGATTTCCCTCTCAGAGTACACATTTAACATCACTTGACCTAGATTTTCTAGTACAATCAACCGAGGCATACTTCGATTGTCGCTGGCAGCCAGATTTTGTGTGACCATACTGTTGGCATTTAGCACACTGAGGTAATTCTCGTTTAGAGCAAGGTGGATCAAATGTGACGCGACTATAAAATAGAGTTTTTATTTCATAAATGTCTTTGTTATTAGGTTTTTGGTCTAATTCAACTACAAACATAGGCAGAGCTTTTTTGGTTTGGTAGTGCTTCATATTCCAGACGTTTGTGGCGGAATGGCCATATTCGTGAAGTACTATTTTTATTTCAGTCGGTTCTACAGATGGATGCATATTTCTTAAAATGGCTTTAAAACTTCTTTCATATTTTGGCTTAAATGTATAGAACTCAATGTTTTAATTTTTCAATTGCTTTACAATTTTGGAAAATGTTTCTGAATTTTTTGGTTGAATTTTGATCCGATTTGAAGATATGACCTCAATATCGTATAGACCAGGAACAAATTCATTAAGTATCGCTAACAATGGATGGATGTTATCAACTTTGTCAACAAATATAGGTGTTGGCTTGGGAATTTTTTTATCTTTTTTTTGGTCTGCATTACAATTGTTTTCATTTTCATCCACTGGAAGTATTTCAAAATGATTAACATTAGTTAGCCAGTATGAATCTAATTTCTTTTGTTTGAGATTTTTAAGATTTTCAGTGCCCTCTCTCTGCCTTTTTGAATGACTAACTACGGTTCTTCTTTCAGTAATTGATTTTCCCATTTTCTTAATCGAAGGGGTGATATTTATATCAACTAACTCACTACTAGAATGAGTGCGTTAAATAATGAATGTTTTCATTATTTAACATTGAAAGATGAATTTTCATACCTGTTTAGAGTTTTTGAACATTATTTTCAGTTTTGGCAAGGGCAGCAAGTTGTTGTGTGGCAGCACTACTTCAACGAACTGACAGAAAATGTCAAATGAGAAAAACAGATGTTCTGTAAAAATTGGCTCGAGTAAGAAGCGTTGTGTCAGTAAACGATTAACTTTATAAACGTATTCAATAACTATTAAGTGGCCCTTAGACAGCAACGCGCGTTGACAAACGCACAAAGTCTTCTCTTGCCATTACACATTAAATTTACCAACAATTTTTTAAACACGCCTCCAGCAAACAATGCAAAATTTGTTCACTCATCAGTATTAAAGCAATCGCTGAAGTGTCAACAGCGGCTGCTATGCGTAATTTCCTTACGAAAAATGATGTTTTACATTTAATTTATAATTTTAATTTATAAATTTATATTTATTTTTATGATTTCAATTTATATATTTATTTTTATATATATTATATTTTATATAATTTAATTTTTTTTTTTGGTATATATTAAAAACAACAGAACTGCAAACAGAGCTGGCGGAGCAGGGATATTGACAGACTCATCATAAAACACTTATGGCAGCTTCATGTGCCAGGCGAACCGAGTCATTATGGCAGCACGACAGGCCACGTGATTGCTGCGGCATATCAAACAACTTGGAACCGAAAATGCACATAGAGGTTCTTCATGAACTGGACTCAGATCACAAACCAGTCCTTTTCATTCTCGAAAAGTGACCAGTAAACAACATGAATCTTACGTATATAACTACCGACTGAAGCGCATTTAAGAACCAGGTTGATGTTGCAAGTATAAACAATTGTCCAGAAACTACTGAGGACCTTGATGTCTGTATCCAGAACTTCACGCTCAAGATTAAGGCGGCCTTAGATAATAGCTGCACTACCAATATCAGAAAACTAAGTAGCTACTTCTTCCTGCCGCATTACATCAAACAAATCATCAGGCGACGAAATGCGATTCGAAAATTTGCCCAAATAACTGGAGACCCGATGAGCAGAATAGGAACCAATCGTCTCTCCAACGAGATCAGGAAAAAAATTCGCAATCACAGTAATGATAAATGGTGCAAATTTTAGAAATTTGAATCTCAGGAATTGATACAGGTGACAAAACCTTGTGGGGTTTCAACAAGTACCTCAGGCTCAAACGTAAATCTGCAGTGCCGCCTATTCATGGAGCGACCGGCATGGCTCTCACAGATATAGCCAAAGCCGAGGACTTTGTAGATTCTCTGGAGCTGCAATTTCAGCCCAATGCTGATAGTGACTGTGATACTCAAGAGGACGAAATTATTACAGAAGAGGCTGCTAATCTTAGAGACCAAGTGTCCGACGAAAGCATTTTACCGTGCCCTAACGATGAGATGAACTGTATCATAGCGAGTCTAAAGACCAGATCCGCACCCGTACATGATATCAGCAACAAATGCCTGCGCAAACTCCCAGAAGACGCAATCCAATGCATCGTTCACATCATCAACTGCATGTTTAGGCTTGCCAAGTTCCCAAAGGCCTGAAAGATGGCCTCGGTTGTAGTGTTTCCTAAACTAGAACAACAAATTCTTTTTTATATTATTTTACTTAATTGAATTTTTGGCTGTCGATGCAGCTGTTTCGAGTATTGACAAATACCCATCATCAGAGGTCTTGGAATTATTTCTTACATTTAATTATTCGTAAATACTTTTTGAGATTGTAAGTCAGCGCTCCTTAACCAACTGACCCAAAACCTTACTTGACTCTCACACTTCTCTGGAGCTTTGTTATGTTAATTTGCTGTGAAAGTTTTATTAACAAACTCACTTGCTGTGTATATATTAGAACGAAATCATAACATAAATTATAAATAAGTCATTATATTTTTAATTGTTAAATTTCAATATTATTCTGTTTGTAGAGGCATTATTTGTTGCATGATTTACATATACATTCTTTCATATGTATAGAACCTAATCTAGGAATATTGAAAAAGTCATGCTAATGTTACTCCACGATTCGCACGGATGAAACCAATATTTCGTAAATATAAGTTGTAATTGCTAATTTGACTTGTCTTAATACTTTTGACGCGAAAAAAAATGTGTGTAAATACTTTTGACAACTAAAAAGCATTAGAGCATTTCTTCTATTTTTAAAGTATGAACAGTTAGCTTAACAACTCTTTTTTTATTTGGTTCTGAAAAGATAAAGCTAAGTGGCAACAAAAATTTTTTTTACAACTTACCTCTAACAACAGCTACAAAAGTCTGTTTTAATGCAATATGCACAAAAATTTCACTAAGACTATATAATGTTTCCAATTTTAAAAGATAACGCGTCGTGAAATGTAGCATTTTTCTTTAAACAAAAACAGGCTGGCAGTTATTATTCTAAATAAATATTTACGGTTTAGGGTTCCAACTAAAAAATTTTTATTGTAGGACATTTGGATAAAGATGAGCTTTTTCAACTATTGATGACAAATTTAGGCATTAATTGTAATAATCACAAATTTCGAAAATACTTAATTCTTTACATTTTACTTAATTCTTTTCGAAATTTGTGATTATTACAATTAATGCCTAAATTTGTCATCAATGGGTTAATGGGTTAAAGCACTTAGGCTAGAATATTAGATATCAATTTGTTAAACGTTTCAGTTTTATGCAGCACATTTTACCTTAATCAATATACACAACTTAGTTTTTAAAGATATCGTTTTAAAAATTAAATGAATTTAAAAACTTTTACAGCAGACAGCGGGGATCAACTTCAAAAATTTGAAGTCAGAATAAGTAGTATTTTTAACTAGCAATTACCATTAATAAACTCTTATCTTTTACTTACTGAAACATAGAACATGTTAGAAAAAAAATTATTGTAGCCTAGACGCCCCATAATTCAAAATCGGTTTTTTTTATTCTTTTGGGTAATAAGCAGTTCAGTTTGAGTTTTCAAAGTTAATACAACGATTTTATTTTATACGCATAGTAACCAAATTTTTTAACTAATGTTATATGATGGATAAAACTTTTGTCACACATTGGATGTTATATATTCTAACGATTATATGTTTTAACATATTTATATCTGAGGGACTTATTAATTCGTATGTTTAAATAAATTTCATAAAAATAAAATATATTTCACTATTATTCTAGTCCTAAAATCATTACACAAGGTGGAAATTTAATATTTGAGTCAGGATTAAATCGCAACATCAGCATTCGCTTAAATGGAAACTCACGACTAAAAATAAATAATAATATGGACTTATTACATTTTATATATTTAAATAAAAAGATACAACATTCTACATTTCCACCAGAAACTGAAGAAAATTTAGCAATCACGCAAAAGGCTATGACAAATTTGTCAGTATTAAAGCAACGAGTTTTTGGCGCAAACGGATTTGTTAAATCTATACGTGATATACAAAATCGGTAAATACTTTTCAATTAATATGAGTAAAACAGTTTTTGATTAACAATTGTTTGAAATTAAAGCACTCGAAATGTTAACATCCTTTTAAGAAACTTTCAAAAAAATCTTAAAGATGTTGAAACTAAAGTTCAGAATATATACACTCGTCTTATGACAGATAATTGCAAAAGCAACCTTTGTGAAAACGGCGGAACATGTATCAACATGCTTAATGGATTCATATGCACATGTACAAAGAATTTCGAAGTAAGTATCTTGACGAAACTAATGATGAAATATTTCTTTAAACATATTGTTCAATTTTATATTGATTTAGAGGCGTAAGTTCGATTAAGTAATTAGTATGAATAAATATTCGGTGAATGAATTGTAAGTATATGCAAGTATACAGCAGAGATCTTCACGCCCATAGAATGCATTTGAATATGTTAAATAAATGTTAAATCACTGTTAGGTTTGTTAACTATAACCAAAGAATCTAGACTACAAAGAAGCACCACGCTCATACAAACGAAATACCCATTTTATTTTGCTGGTGGATTTATAATAAATCCACCCAACCTCATGCAACAATGTTCGATCGAGTCACAACTGGTATGATGTTCAGTTCAAACCTATATGTGAGTCGAATAAGGCTGACAAAAGCCCTTCTGTATACGTATTCAATCATACATGCAATGCAATCCTCTGTATTACATTATACGCATGTTTGTATGTTTGTTCGCTGTAAAATGTTCAGGCGATCAAATAGGAATTCAGTGACGAAATCAAAATTGTGTTCATTTGATAATTTTTTGAATTTAATAATATAAAACAAAAACAAAATTACCTGTTTATATTGTTATGAATTGCAGTGTAAAAACACAATACGAATTTATTTGTCTCAAATCTGAAAAAAGATTTAAAAGACTTTTTTGTGAAGTCTTATTTACGTCTTATTTAAAACAATATTTTTTAAAATAATTACAAAAAGTCACCAAAAATTCAAACTATGGTATTAAGACGTAGTTCCATTTGAGATAAAATATATGCACAAATGTGTGCAATAAAAATATACATATTTATATGCTACATACTCTATGTCTCCAATATCACATTCGTACATACATAATGGTTTTTGTACAGCATCATTTGATGCAATAAAAAATAATATATTATATTACTCTTTACTCCTATAACATGGGGCTTTCCAGCACAAGAAGATAAAGCAACAAATTATATGGAAAAATTGTTTCAGGGATTTCTTTACCATTCACTTCGCTACTAATCAGTGTATATTAATAAAATAGAAAAATAAAAACAAGAAAGGCAAAAGAAACAGGCGTTTGTGGGTTGCAATGAGTTTGAACTGAACATCATACCAGTTGTGATTCGATCGAACATCGTTATTATAAACCCACCAGCAACATAAAGTGGGTATTTCGTTTGTATGAGTGTGGCGCTTCTTTGTAGTCTAGATTCTTTGCTATAACCAAGACAGAGAATTAAAAATTAATGTCATGAAAAAATAAAAATATAAGTCACAAGTATTTACAAAAAATTGTTTAGTATGGAACTTATTTTACCTTCTTAACCATTGAAGCAAATGTGTTGAAAGTGCACAGTACAATTTCATATTTTGTACTCCAATAAATAAAATTTTAATTTTGGGAAAGATTATGAAAATTTGTCACATCCAAATCAAATATTTAATTTTATATGCAAATTGTTAATTTATTTATTCTTGGCTTTATATTAAAATTTATAAATTAAAAAATTCAAACATAATATTTAAGGCACATACATGTGTATATGTACTAGTGCTGTTCATATTCAAATTTACGAAGTATTCGAAGACTTCGAATATTCGAATAGTAAACGAAGTCTTCGAAGTTGGAAAAAACTTCGAAGTTTTTGTGAATTTTTGTTCTCGAAGTCTTGGAAGTTTAAGTGTAGTGAAAAACTTCGAAGACTTCGAAGACTTCGTAAGCAAAAGGTGAAGTGAGAGCGCAAATTGCAAACAAACGTGCATCACACAAATTATTTGAGGGATGAAAGCATTTGCTTCGTTTGTACGGTTTTATGTTTTTTTTTTTGATATTCTATGCAGAAATTTAAAAACATGTTTTTTTGTTTTATTTTATTACATAAAATTTATTTTATTATTAAATATGTATTATAATATATATTATTTTTAAATATGTTATTATTAAATATTTTTTATATTAAATAAAAAATTCACATTTTAAATAACTTATATTTATTATATATATTTAAAAAATTATATTTGAGAAAATTTTTAATATAATATAAAATATATACGTAATAATATGAAAATATTGATATTGATGGATTTTATTAGTAATGGAATTTTATAAAAGTTTTCATTTTCCTTTTCAATAAAATCACAAATTAAAATCTTGAAAATTAGTTATGGAAAAATGAGTTTTGCTTATTAATGCCTAATTATTTGACCTGTATGAGCTGTGATGATCACGCAGGCAAGCGCAAATTTATTTTTGCATTATAAAATTTTGAATGTTTTGTTGTAGTTACAGTTATTTTACTGTTTATGGAAAAATTTTAAATCCCTTATTCTAGGAAAAGAAATACATAATATTATAAGGAAGTATCTAAATAAAATGTAAATTAGTGTATAAGCAAAATTGTATAAAAGAAATTCCATCAAATTTTCATGTATTTTATATTATATTAAAAATTTTCATAAATATAATTTTTTAAATATAAATAATAAAAATAAGTTATTTAAAATGTAAATTTTTTATTTAATATAAAAAATATTTAATAATAACATATTTAATAAATTTTATATAATAAAATAAAAAAAAAAAACATGTTTTTAAATTTCTGCATAGAATATCAAAAAAAAAAAACATAAAACCGTACAAACGAAGCAAATGCTTCATCCCTCAAATAATTTGTGTGATGCACGTTTGTTTGCATTGTGCGCTCTCACTTCACCTTTTGCTTACGAAGTCTTTGAAGTTTTTCACTACACTTAAACTTCGAAGACTTCGAGAACAAAAACTCACAAAAACTTCGAAGTTTTTTCCAACTTCGAAAACTTCGTTGAAATGCGAATATTCGAAGAACTTCGAATTTTTAAAAACTTCGAATAATGTGAACAGCACTAATATGTACATAGAAAGTATTTATCACTTGATAAAACAATCCGGGCCACCTTATACTAAGTTTACATTGTGAGATTAAATTAATCTGCATTTTTAATCTCCATCATTTACATTATACATTGCAGATTAATTTTGTTTTGTTTCGTGCGTTTGATAAATTTTTGTAAATAAAGCATTTCATCACAATTTTGTACAAGAAAAGACTATAATATAAATTTAAAAATAGTTGTATACAAAAATGTAACAAATTTTAATTATAATTATGTATACAACTATTATTAAACTAATTTAAGTAAAATTTCACTCAATTCGGCAATTTAAAATTTTAAATTTTTATTTTCAATTGATTTTGACATTTTTTTCCAATTCTTCTAAGATCGTAAAAAAATCTACGATATTAAGACATTTCCAGAGTTGCACGAAAAAATTATCATCATTTGTAAGGAGATAAAAAATTAATGTAGACCAAAAGGAGATTAATTTTTGTATTGGAAATCTGAGATTAAGCAACGAGATCTCCATGATTGCTTTAATCTATTTTAAATCTCACAATATAAATGCCGTATAAAGAATTTGAATCTTAAATTAAATCCATGTTTTTATACAAATTACCGTTTACTTGTAGCATGATGGATTTACTAAAATACATAAAGGTGGATAAATATTATGACGACTTAATTTTATAGCATTTATTATATTCTAAGAAAATAATTTTATTACTTTAATAACACTAGTTTACAGTCAAAACTTTCCAAAGATGAGACCTACATTTTAGTAGTGATATTTTCTGTAAAATTCGAAAATCATAATGATTTTTTATTTGCAAATAACTCTTATATTGATTTTTTGGTGAAGTCACTGCATATTGTGTCGTATATCAAATTAAAGCTGCAACTTGTACGAATATTTTAAGCTACATATCGTCCACATAACTTCATTGGTTTAGCTGCTACAATTAAATATATACATATATACAGATGAAAAGTTTTTTTTATGTTTTTTTCAACATTTCGATTTTCAATGTGATGGGACTCCCACAGACAATATTATCTCTTTGATTGGTGTTAAAGGCTGTTTTAATACAAATGTTCCCAGAGTCTTGTCGGAATACCGCCTGCGCCAAAAATATTGCACATTCAAGTGCGGGATAAAGTTTATCTTTTCAAATATGTATTAGCTACATTAAATTCCAATGAACGGCAAGAGATATATATAAGTTGTTGTATATTTTTTAATCTTAATTTAAGATTTAATTTAAGTTAGAATTTTAGTTTTTATTTCGATCATTATTTTCAGTAAATTTCTATATGTTTTCGACGAATTCGCTTTTGGCCTTCATCAGAAGCACTCGTAATATTAATAACATCTATGCGATTTACAAACTATTTAATAGATTTATATTTAAAAAATGGTGGCGCGATGGATCTGGTTTTGTTGTTCAGGCTTGATTTTGCGCAGGTAGTTTGGTCAACTGGTTGGGTTTGTTTTTTTAGAATGTATTTAAAAAGTGTAGCCTGATGTTTGTGTACAGAGAATATCTTTTATAAAATGGAAACTTCGCCCACCTCGATCAAAACTAAGAGAAATTGCTTAAGAAAATTCATTTTTTACAACATTTTTGTCACACGTATTAAATAAGTGTGATTAAACCACATTTATGCCACTTTTACGCTCTTTCATGCTCTTTCAGGGCTGCTGCATACCTTTTTTTTAACTACTTACTGTACAAGTTTTTATATAAGCAGATATATAAATACTCATTAATGAATATAAGCATACATTACATATAATTTATATATTATTAAATTAAATGGATTTATTTACAATAACATATAATCATGCAAAAAAATTTTTTTTGATTGTAATTGAGTATGTTAAACAATCATTTATACACTTTTCTTAGGTATTATTATATTTTTGATGTGCGAAAATAGTTCAGAAGGGTTTCATATAATATGATGAAAGCAATTAAAATCTATTTTAGCTTGAAATTGAAAAAATGTATTTTGAAATTAAATTCAGTATATAATGGTTATAATGTTTTCCATTTAAATAGCTTTTTGGAGTAAAAATATTTATAAATTGAGTATATTATACAATGAAATTTAAAGTTATATGACATTAATATACACAATTTATAAAATTCACATATCTATGCAAATAAATTGTAAATTGAAAAATAGAAATCATTAATTTTTATAATAGAAATTCAGTGTTAAACATATCAAAAGTGATATTATAATTTATTTTACAGATTTTCAGAAATAAATAACTGATTATATAGCATTGTTCACTTCAAGAAATATAATATTCCAAAATTTATTTAATATATATTGTTATTCGTTAGAAATTGTAGAAATTTATTTTAAAATTAAATAAATTTTTAAACAATCGCAATAAATACTAATTTTATTGCTTGCACGGCCACTCTATTATGGTGAATGCATTTTTAAAATACAGCATTGCCTAAGAAATTTTTATTCTTATTAATTCGTAAAACGAATTTTGTAGACAGTACCGAATAGATAGTTAATGCGTGGGGGTGTGTACGCACTAGTCCTGTTCACATTATTCGAAGTTTTTAAAAATTCGAAGTTCTTCGAATATTCGCATTTCAACGAAGTCTTCGAAGTTGGAAAAAACTTCGAACTTTTTGTGAATTTTTGTTCTCGAAGTCTTCGAAGTTTAAGTGTAGTGAAAAACTTCGAAGTCTTCGAAGTTTAAGTGTAGTGAAAAACTTCGAAGACTTCGTAAGCAAAAGATGAAGTGAGAGCGCAAAATGTAAATTTTTTATTTAATATAAAAAATATTTAATAATAACATATTTAATAATAATATATATTATAATACATATTTAATAATAAAATAAATTTTATGTAGTAAAATAAAACAAAAAAACATGTTTTTAATTTTCTGCATAGAATACCAAAAAAAAAAAACATAAAACCGTTCAAACGAAGCAAATGCTTTCATCCCTCAAATAATTTGTGTGTGCACGTTTGTTTGCATTTTGCGCTCTCACTTCACCTTTTGCTTACGAAGTCTTCGAAGTCTTCGAAGTTTTTCACTACACTTAAACTTCCAAGACTTCGAGAACAAAAATTCATAAAAACTTCGAAGTTTTTTCCAACTTCGAAGACTTCGTTTACTATTCGAATATTCGAATTCTTCGAATACTTCGTAAATTCGAATATGAACAGCACTAGTACGCACGTCAACGAGCATCGTTCGATTTCTGCCTACAAAATTTCATTTTATGATTTCGTAAAACAAAATTTGTAGTTAGTACCGAATAGATCGTTGATGCGCAGGGTTGTGCGCGCACATTTTTAATTTTTGTGGTGAGTATTATTAATAAACATTTTGGGTTAATTAATTAAATATTATAATTTTTTTTTTTATTTTATGTATTATTTTTTTAATACTTATACAAAAAGTTGTGTTGTAAATTAATTACTTCATACTTTTTTGATGTTTTTGAAAACACTTCAATATTCTTTTACTGCAAATAAATTCAAACAACATGAAATTAAATATTATAGTATTCTTTTTTAGAGACACATCTAAGTTTCATATAACTCATATACATATAGTTTTTTCGTTATCTTTTATGTATTTAAAAAATATACAGTTAACTCATTTATTTATATATAAATTTAATTTTTATTATAAAATACACTTGAAACAATTCATACAATACTCAAACAGTTATACTTAGACAAACAAGTAAATATAGAATAAACATGTTTATAATAAACTTAATATTAAAAATGTAGCATCTTAAAATACTTAAATACAGCAGTTGTAAAACATATAAAAAAACGATAGTGATGGTATTTCTTATTATTATTTGCACAGTACTGAATCGTAATACACGAATACGAATACTTGCCAAATAAATATTTCATATTTCAAATATTTCACAGATTATAACAGTATAACAAATAACAACAATTGCATTCTTATCTTCCTTTACCATCGGTTGCTGGAAATTTGTATAACGTCTTGTACGTGGCACAGACTCTAACACAATGTGTCACCATCTACAAAACATTAATTTATTAATTATATACACTAGTATTTTTAAATTATAATTATTATTATTTACTTACTTTATTATTATTTGAAAAAAATTTATCAGGCCTATTCTGAATACTCCCAGCGAAAAAACTCCCTATTCGCACGCTGTTCCCGAACACACAGCTCCCTTATTCTGAATCGCTAGGGAGACAGCAGTTTCGTGAACAACAACAATTTCAAATTTGTTTTGTTAAATTTTGGCAACCATGCCACTTTTTAATGACGAAAAGTGAGAAAATGAGCAAAACAAAGAAAACAATTGCGTATCATATGTTGATTTAAATGTAAAAATCGCATTATTTGTTTGCTGCACAAATTATCGGAAATAAATATAAGTTATTTTATGAGTAAATAATAAACAATTAGAAACTTTTATTTTAATGAGTAAAATAAATATATAAAAAGAATTATGCATGAGCAAAATAAACCAAATGCTAAATTCTAAATTTTTAACTCTTTTTTAAACTAATTAAAAAACAACCTTACGTTATGATATCAATTCTTCAATGTCTTTATTTTCAAACATTCACTGCTTTTATACAAAATTTGCGTAAATTATAATTTACTTTTTTTATATAATTAGGATAGAAATGTCCTTCATGCTTAAATTAATGAACTAATACTAGTTTATACCTATGTATAAAGATCTTACAATAAAAAAGAAGCAATGTTTTACCTGAACATAATTGCAGTTTTAACTTATTTTAACTTATTCTAGGAATCCACTTATTTCAGAATTTGGTTTCCTTTCATTTTTCTATTGTTTTAAAAACAATAGTTAACACTTTAATTAGTGGAAAAAACCCGTGTGAATAAAATAAATAAATAAAAATTTAAATATTTCAAATTTGTTATACTTTTATTAAAATAATAATTTTAATAAAATATATTAAATGAAAATTTTGTTATATTAAATTTATTAAAATATATTCGGAAAACTAATCAAAAAATAAAACTTTGAAAATATTAAATTAATTGTAATAATTTTATTATAATAATAATTTTATTAAAATATATTCAAAAATCTGATCATTTTCAGTTACTTTTATATTAAATTAAACTATTTTTTATACTTTTTTAACTTGTCTCCCCAACAATTTGGTAGCGAGAGAATTTGTGCAAAATTAGGAAAAAACTCACATTCGCATGCGATTCAGAATAGGGGAATTGGGAACAGGGAACATACCAAATTTATTCAGAATAGGGGAATTGGGAACAGCGAACAAACTCGCATTCCCTTGCGATTCAGAATAGGCCTGTATAATTGAATCACTTTGATCATTTTTGCTTTATACTTTTTCTAATATTGGGCGCAAATTAGTTTTACTATTTTTTAACAATCAATTGCGCAGTATTTTTTTTTAAATATAGCGCAGTGCAATCAAATTTTTTGTCAAGAAATCAAAACAGAGAACCAAAATTATGCTCTCTATTGCACTCATTGCCCATAAAATTTTTCTTAAGAGTAACTTAACTTGATCGACCTAAAATTTTTGGAGACAAATTTTTCAAAAGTTCTTGATAATATTATCAAGAACACTAAATACAAGAAGACTTCTCAACTCAAGCGATTTTATTTCTACACACATTAGGCCTTTCAAGAGGAACGCGGAGATTTTGCATTGGTTGTGTAGAAATTGTTTTTGATTTCTCTCTATAGTTCACATTTTCTATTTACGTACTGCTATATGTGCGAATGTAGTATTAATCAATGCTCGAAGTTTCCAACAACAATTTGCCTTAGTTAATTAACACAACAGACAAAAGGCACATCTACCCAGCGGGACTTTCAGCGCTGAGGTATTCGATTGCTTCAGCGCTGAATGGTAATGCCTTGTGCTGATTATACAAAGGAAACTCCTAATTACTTTAACAAGTGCATGTCATTGCGGGCAAGCGCTGAATCGTTCGATTACCTTTTCAAATTTGTAATGCAACATTTCAGCGCTGACATGTTAGCTTACCTTTTCAAATTTGTGATGCAACATATCAGCGCTGACATGTTAGCTTACCTTTTCAAATTTGTAATGCAACATATCAGCGCTGACATGTTAGCTTACCTTTTCAATTTTACCTATGCTATTGATTTTTAAATAAAATACTAAAAATTTTTTTGGATGAATTATATTTATATTTATGTTTTATAAAATTAAAATATTAATATTTACATAAAACAATATAACATATTTATATATTTATGTTTAAGAATATTTTTCTGTGGAATTGTTACTAGAGACTTGAAGAGATTTCCAAACTCGATCCGATCACTTGCTCCGGCTTATCATCTGTCCTTAAAGCATCTGTAAATACAAAAGTATGTTATTGTATACGCTAAAGTAAATTATGTACAATATACCATACCAAAAAGTGCTGCAGTCACATTCTTTAACGTTCTTAAGGACTTCTTGCCTTCTATACCATCAAAGTTGTAATTTATGAGTATACTTTCTCCAAAATTCCACGAAATCCTTCGCGTAATTGGTTATTTGTCAATAACGCGTCTCATTGATGCAGCCTATAAATAACGTAATAAATGAAAAGAAATGTATGAGTTAGTAAAATTGTTACGTGTGAAAATATTAATAAGTGGAAATTGAAAGTAAGATAATCAACATATATAATTTAACTTACAACTACTTCAACGGGAGTGATTTCTTCGTTAAACTGAATTAAATCATCTTCCTTAGATTAAATTGGAAACTGTTCCAATTGAAGCAATTGACCGCATTTTACTTTAGAATGACTGCATTCGCAGCATATTGGTCAATTAATCGTTCTTGACGCAGTAGCATCTACATAATACAAAACAAAAATTACAATTATCATTTTAAATATATTTACTTAATTTTGCATATAGAAATATTATAGATGGCTTCATCCTTTTCACCAAATATAATTATGGTACTGGTACATCTTTGTATCCAGTGATTTTAGTGGTAAGTGCACGCTTCCAAATAACTCACTCGAAAGAAAACTACAATGATAATTTTGATACTTTACATTTTTATTAATTTGTATCAAATTTATCAAATTTTATAAAATCTTAATATATTTTATTAGTTTTATTTAAATAAATCTTTTAATATTGATCTTTATAGTTTCATTTTAAACATTATAGTTTTCATTTCAAAATCTACTTTAATTCACAATTTCATTTGTTTGTTTTCTTAATACAATTATATTTTAATTTAATTCAACGTCATTCAATTAGATTTTTAATTTCACTTTAATTTTCCATTTTTTCAATTTCTTGTTTAAGTTAATAAATTAATATTTTCAAGTAGAGTTAAGAACCGAGCATGTTGAAATATTATTCAACCCTTTTTCAATGCTACGTGACCGAGTATGATATCTGTTTCATAGCATCTTCCAATACTACTTCTTTTTATTGACAAACTTAACATATTTGATCCTCCTTTTTATACCGCCGATAACAGAGCAAAAATCAAGCTCTTAACTATGTTAAGTTGCAGCTTTGATTTTTGTATGTTAAATAACTTTAAGCAAAAACATAGAAATTTCTATGTTTTTGCTTTAAGCAAAGACAAAATAAATAGAAAGATGGTTCACGTAGTGTAATGAATTGAACCTAAAAATTGACAGAATTTTAATAAATTTAAGAGAATATATTGTACACAGATTATAAATGACTAAGAGGACTTCTTTGCTTTTTAAGGCAATCAGCCTTCGTGTGTGCTTGCCGAAAACGAACCGTTTGTCTAGCACAAATTTGTGCTTGCCGAAGGTTTTTGAGTTCTGTTTTATTTTGTTTTGTTTTTTTTTGTGATCGTGATTAGAAAACAATGAGAGCCATGTAACTTTTTTTACACATTGACTACTAATGCTGTTACAATAAATAAATTTGTATAAGACAATTGAAATTAAATGAATAGCATTGAATATGTTTTCTTTTTTATATTTAATTCTTTATATGAGATCATTACAAATAAAATATTTATACTCAATTAAAATCATTCGTAATTCTTAATTTTCATTATCTTTGATTAATTTTATTTTATTATTTTATTTTTATTTTTTTTTCATAATTTTAAATTACAATAAAATGTTTAAAAATAATCGAAGTAGATTAATTATAAAATTTATAAGAAAAAGATAAGTTTCAAGTTACGATAAGTTTCAAGTTCTTGTGACGTTTTGATTTTCTAACTGAAAGATCTCTTTCACGACATCGAAACAAACAGTACCATCTAGGGTTTCAAAGTTTGCCTTTAATAATGCATTACGAATGGATTTAAATAAATGTGGAGTATCATATAAAAGATATATTCTTCTATCATCATGATAAAAATTGGGATTATTGATTGTTGCACCAAAAATGCTAAAGCAGTTGCGATTATTAGGTCCTTGATCACATGTAGTCGCTCGCACTTTTAAACCAATTCTAGCCACCAAATCCAAATACATTTCAATAAGTATTTTTAGGTCTTTTCCTTTCATTGATTTGGCTGTTACAAAGTAGTTTAAAACGAACTTCCAATTGGTAAACAATCCTCTCAACATAAAAACACAAATTTGACCACCTATCTCATTTGTCCTTCTGTATCCCATATCTTCCACACCGTCAATTACATCCGCAGCATTATTAAATTTTAGATCCTTTCGAATGCAAATTTCATCGAAAATTAAGAGGCACTCGGTGTCAATTGGATTCATTTTTTGAAATGCATTTTTTAGTGCTTCAGGAATACATAAATTATTGCCAGGCTGGAGATTCTTTATTTCAGTCCATCGGCGTAATGAGAAAATGCTGGGAAGATTTAAATTTAAGGTTGTCCTTAAGAAAAGATATGTTGAAGTTGACCGATAATAAATGCTGTGAGCAAATAACTTTTCATCATTGTTCCAGGAAGCGTTAGTACATCTCCTAGTTTTGAGAAGCATCTTGGAAAAAACTTTATCATTTTCACTCACATCTAATTTATCAATCAACTTCGAAATGGTAAGCACTTTTATTTTGTTTTTTAGTTTCGAAACTGTCTTTTGTAGGATTATATTTTTTTTTTTAAATATTACATATTTTTTACTTTATTTTTTGGTTGATTTTTTATTGAGAAATATTTTTTTCTATAAAACTCCATATTTTTCAAATTTTTTTTGCAATTATTACAAACTGATTCTGGAGATTCAGATCTTTTTCTTTTATGTTGTGGCGATCTTAACGTAGTCAAATCTACGTCTTCTAATTCTACACATTCTTCATTTGTTACATGCACATCTGACAATCCTAAATTTATATTTGAAACAGAACCGCGCTTTAAATATTTTTTTCCAATTAAATTGGGAGAAAAGTGCGTTTCGCAGATATGTAATTGTGTAGAATTTGATACAAATTCCTCGTTTAAAACGCATTTTTTCTCCCATTCCTTAAATAAAGGCGTATCAAATTCTGGAAACTTGAATATCCTTAAGCCGGGAGTATATCGTTGTGATTTACGACAATGAGGCAATAAGCATCTATTACCTCTTTTTTTAATCTTTTCCATAGTCGCGATTGATTTTAATGAATATGTTAGAACAAACGAAATAACAAAATTATTTTGAATATTAATGGTTTCTTAATTTTCACACTATTCTACAATTTGTAATTGCTTTTATTTACACTTAGTTATATGAAAAAGTTAAAAGTTAGTTATATGAAATTTGAAAGTAAACTAACAAAAACGAGACGAAATTTGTTTAACGTTTTTTTTTGTTTTCAAAAGATTTACCGTTGTGTTTGCCGAGTGGCGGCAAACAGGACAGAATATGTTATTATAAGACAATTAAATAAGTTATTTTGTCTTTGGCGAGATGTTTCACATTTTAATTACAAATTAATTATGCTTATATATGAAATAATGGTTCTGTCTAATCATACATAGTTATGAAAATTGAGTTATATAAATATAAATATAATTTGATATCATATTTTAAAGTCACATAAAATTAAATATCTCTAATTATTAAACTATATATTATATTATATTTAACATAATATAACAATAATAATAATAAAATAAAGTAAAAAATAGTGAACTTCAAAAAGTCCACACAGGAGTTAAAATAATTTAATAGGAATATTAATTCGTAATTGCAATGCTTATTTTCATATGCAATTTTTATTAATGCCAAAAATAAATAAATACACTTGCATTGTGTTCGTTAATACAATCACATAAATATACATCTGTAAATAGTCAACGCATTGAAAAACATAAGGAGAGAGTAAAAACATTGAAAACATAAGAGCAAACTTTTTCATTCGAAAAAAGCATTTCGCAGCTCTCTTAAATTTTATGGGGACGCGCCGTGCGTCCACTACAAAATTTTGCATAGTACAAGCAAATGTATGGAAGTGAACCATCTTTATATTTATTTTGTCTTTGCTTTAAGTTCTGTTCTTACAGACTTATAACATGAAGTTCTAATGTTACTTTAGTTTGTAACATAAGCGTCTTCTATTATGATCATGACAATGTGAGAATTGCTGGTATTTACATAGCGTCATCTCTCAAGCTCTTGAGAGATTTGTGCTATGATCAGCAAAAATAGTACAGTACATCTTTTGACTGTATGTGTGTCATGAATTTTTAAGAAGATGATCACACGATAGATAGATGCGTGTATCTTCTTAAATGTTTACAGTAGCATTTATTGTTACTGTCTGTGCCAATCTGATTTCATTATATTTGATTGTTCTGCACAGTGGGGCAATTTGGTAGAGGAATATTAGCGTCAATGCTAATATGTAACTATATACTTACAGTTAGTTTATGTTAAATTCACAAATTATATTTTATTTTTATTTTTAGATTCACAAATTATATTTTATTTATATTTTTAGATTTTATTTTGATATTAAAAATTAAAAATTGTTCACTGCACTAATTTGACGCACAAATTAAAATCAAAAGCAGACTAAATGTATACAATGCAGGCAAAACAAAAAATTCTTAATACTCATATGCTTTTCTTCTTCATTCTTTTATAATTTCAACCCCGAAATTGCCTATGTCGAACACAAATGTCGAAAACAAATAAAAATATTACCTCCTCGCTTACTTTTTCAGCGCTGGCCTAATGGTGCCGCTGGGTATTTTTCATTGTTATTGCACACTTACTGTATGATTTCGTATGCAAGAGTAGGTGAAGCAATATTTCTGAAGTTAATGCATAGTCTTTGTGTTTGTATATTTTTCCTAAAATATATGACTGGCTTTGTGTGCATGCAATGCACAAGTAGTTTCAAATTATTATGAATTTGATTTTTGATGAAATTTTATTCTGGTCTCATACAAATATATGAAGTTTGCCTATTATGAGGTTAGTAAGCACCGGCAGTAGTACAGTACTACTAATATGCTCGTAGTAGGAATGATATGAAGTATATTAATAAACACCAAATTGTTTTTTAAAATATTTTTTTATTAAAGTTCCAAACAGTAATTTATTATAAACATTGCACTTATTCTTAAATCTAATCTTACATAATAACTTATATAATTTACGATCTATTTACGATCTATTTACAATAATTATTACTTACAAAAATTACTATTTACAATAATTTATTTAAATTTATTTCCATGAATATATAGAAATATAGCAAAAAATATATTCTTCTTGAAATATACACATTAATGTATTTTATATATTTTTTCTATGGGAAATATCTATAGAATTATAATATCATGGATATCAGCGATATTCAACCTGTTGGAAAATCACGAAAAAGCAAATCAACATAAGAAACAGTATAAACGCATTACATATCACGGTAAT